TTCGGTCTATGAAAATCATACTATCGGGTTTTTTGTCTAAACGAGGTTCTAGATCCCTTTCCCTGCCCTTCCTCCCCCCTCCCCTCCGCCCCGTCGCTCCATAAACCTCGCCCCTGTTTCCAGTTCCTACTTCCAAAACAAGATCTTAGTTACTTCCCGGTCAATAGCCCCGTCCCTTTTCCTCGGTTACAACCTTGAGACCTAAACCACGGGCTCTCCTGCTTGAGACCTAAACCACGGGCCTCGTCACGGGTCCTCCTGCTCTCACACCTCTATCCTCTACTATATCTCCCGCCAATACAACTCGCCTCCCGGACAAATAAAGCCGAAACAGGCCGAGCCGAGTCTTAGTAATTGCTACTGATACGCACGTGTCCGCGTTTTTATGCACTTTGTGCTGCAACAGTTGCAAAGAACGCGCATCGTATAAAGTATATTTTTATGTGTTCTTGCTTTTCTGTGCTACAGCACTACTACAGAGAGCAAAAACGCTTGTTGTCGAGAAGCATGCGATGTGTGTGTGTGTTTGTGTGTATGTGTGTTTGTGTGTGTGTGCGTGTGTGTGTGTGTGTGTGTGTGTGTGTGTGTGTGCAAGTAAACTGTAGAGTAGAGCATAGAGGTGTGAGAGCAGGAAGGCCCGTGACGGCGGTTTAGATCTAAAGGTTGTAACCGAGGAGAGGGGACGGGGCTATTGACCTGCTTTCAACTCAGCAACCAGGAAAACTGAGAGACTGAAATTTTGTGAGCCTGCTCCCAGAATATGTGTTGCCCTTACAACTTGAAATCATCATTCACGCGCGTCTAGATCTCAAGTACGGACGCTGAGAAAGAATTATGCAAATTTTGTGGCAGAAAGGCGATTTCGAGAACTAGACGAGCTGGAAAGCTGAAATTTCACGCAGATGTTCCCTGCTTATATGTGAGCTAAAGATTTCAAGTTCAGCTATCACATATGCCTGTGCCACGAGTATAGTCACGTCAAATTTCACATCTGACACTGCGCCAGCTCGTAAATTAGGCAGAAAACAGTAACTGAAAATTTATAGAATGCTTTCTTTCTTCTGGGAAATCATATACCCAAAACGATTTTCGATTTGTACTTACATCACGACTTAGGGCACTTCAAAGATGTTTGTAGCGAAGGGGCAATTTCTCTTACCGAAAAAGCTACGAAGCTGTAACTTTGCAAGAATATTTTACATTCATATGTGATCTAAATACAGCTTGGAGGCTAAATTTCCTGCATAAAAATATGAGGAATACTTAATTTTATCGCAAACTGAAAAGCAAGTGCATTTTGCGGATTTGCCTATACCACGAGTGCAGTTGCGTCAAAGTTCATAGTTGGCGCTGCAACAGCTTGAAAATTAGCCAGAAAACGGTAGCTGAAAATTTGTCGGGATGCCTTCGCCCTCTTGCACATCCTGTGTATTTTCAAATTTGCATTTTTCGCTGAACGACCGCTCACAGGAAAAACGACCGGGCTTCGTACAAAAAACTGATAATTATGTAAGCTAGAACTTCGCACATCCCCATGATGCATCACTACCATTCCAGCCGACACCTTTCCCCCTGCACGCAGGAAGAACCTAAGACTAAATGAGTATGTGTATTAAGCCACAGTACAGGAACCATTCCTGCTGCTAAAGATCTGACTGCTGTAAATCTAGTGTGAAAAAAACATGTTGGCATCGGCAAGCCCGGTGCAATGCAGCCTGGAGTTTATGTTGTTTTACAGAAACTTCCGTGCCGTGTGCGACACCGCAAGTTTAAACTGAGCGTGTCACATACAGATATCTAAAAGTTCCGGCGGGGAATCTACCAAATTAAGAACCAGAAAAGTTAGGAAGCCGAAGTTTTAGAAGGATGCGCCACATTTACTTGTGAACCCACAAACCCGAATTTGGCTTTCATGTATGCCTGGTTCCCATGTACGTATGCATGCTTTGATGGGAAAATTACTGACTCAAGGGCGAGAAAAGCTAGGAAGTAGAAATTGCAGGAATTTGTTTCTGCCCATATGCGGCTATACAAATTTAGCACAGTTTCTAACTGGGACAGTTGGAAAGTGTGTTAAATTGATACAGTTTAAATAGTTGAAAAGCGAGTTTAAATTTTCAAAATTGCCAACCTTTTAAATTAAGCCAAAATTTTACATTTGCAGTATCTTGAGCTAATTCTTCATAGACCTCACGCTTCATGCTCGTAAAATTCAGCACATTAGCTGCTTTGGTTTCGAAGTTATAAAAGCGTCTGCGTTCACTCGCATGTTTCTCTACCTGTGGAGCAAATAAGTCGTGGAAGCTCATTTTGAGCTCATTACAGGTCCATAATTGAATAGCAAATAGCACCAGTCTCGTCGATGCTGGTGAGTACGACGCATACGCAGAACCAACGTTGGTCATGAACTCACGTTTGCCAAGGCACGAAGCTTCGACCCGTACAGATT